GACCTGGTGATCTGCTTCCATAAAGATTACAGCCTAGGAAACCCTATGGGACAGTTCTATTCTGTTACATGGGGTCCCTATGAGTTGGAATACAGTAGATGACACCTAACAATAACAACATCAACAGAGCAGCTAGATATTTAGGGTGGAACCTGTAAAAAAAAGAGAGCCTTAGTGGGTGTGAGCCCCTACATCTACATATAAACTCTGCCCAGATCTGTGGCTGACCAGTGAACTACGAACGAACATTGCTGTTAGTTGCCGTTGAGTTGATTCTGACTCTCAGTGACCCCATCTGTGCAGAACGGAACTGTGCTCCTTAGGGTTTTCGAGGCTGTGACCTTTTGGAAGCAGATCATCTGGCCTTTCTGAGACACCTCTGGGTGGGTTTGAACCACCAACCTTTAAGTTACTAGTCCAGCACTTAACCATTTGTGCCACCCAGAGACTCTTATGAATGCACAGGTGTGTTTTTACTAGGGACCCTAGTAAAAGCAGCAACTGAAAACTCAAAGAACTGAGCAGATTTCTGTTACTACTCACTGCAAGATTTGGAGTTTGATTCAAACCAAGTTAACTTCCTGCTAAAACAAAATCAACACTCTTCAGAGGGCAAAACTGAATACAAAGTCTCAACAATGTATCTTTAAAAGTCCAGAGTACAATAAAAATTACTAGGTATATGAAGAAACAGGAGAACATGACTCATTGTTAAGACAAAAAGCAGGCAGTAGAAACCGACCTTGACATGACCCGGATATTGGAATTAGAAGATAAAGACTTTAAAGCAGCTCTTATAAATACGTTAAAATACTAAAGAAAAATAACAGCATAATGAATGTACAGATGAGGAAATCTGAGCAGAGAAATAGAAACTATAAAAAAGAACCAATGAAAATGAGACGTCTGAAATGGTCCATATTTAAAATGAAAAATTTATTGTATTGGGTTGAAGATGGCAGACAAAGAAACAGTAAACTCGAAGATATATCATTATGGATTACTTAATCTAAAGAATAGGTAAAAGACCAAAGAAAATGAAATGTTGAGAAATTGGCCTATAAGATAATAACAAGTGACCTAAAATGTGTTTAATTGAAGTCCAAGAAGGAAAAGAAAGAGAGAATGAGACAGAAAAATATTTGAGAAATAATGGCAGAAAATTTCCCAAATTTGGTGAAAACTATAAACTTACAGATCCAAGAAGCGTAGTGAACCCCAAGCAGGGTAAACATAAAGAAAACCATACCTAGTACATCATAGTCATGCTTCTGAAATCCAGAGATAAGGAAGGTACTTTGAAAATAGCCAGAGAAAAATAACTTATTACATTCAGAGGAACAACAAGAATGAGAGCTGACTTCTCATTAGAAACAGTAGGCAGCATATTGAAGATACTGAAAGAAAAAAAAAACAATAACTCAAACCAGTCAACCCAGAATTCTATGTCTAGTAAAACTATCCTTTGAAAATTAAGGTGAAGTAAAAACAATTGTATATGAAGGAAACCTAAGACAGTTCATTGTCAATAGACATACACTACAAGAAATACAAAGACTGAAGGGGCATGACACTAGATGGAAATTAAGATCTATAGGAAGGAATGAAATTGTAAATATGTGAGTAAGTATGAAAGACAAAATATAGTTTTTCTTTTTTTAACTTCTTTAATTTCTTTGAAAGACGTATGACTAAAGCTAAAATCATCACACTGTCTTGTGGGGTTTATAAAATATATAAATTACGTTCTTTGACCACAGGGAAATTAATTAGAAGTTAATAATAAAATATACAAAATCCCCATATGTTTGGAAATTAAAAATCACACTTCAAAATTACCCAGGAGTCAAGAAATAAACACCAATTAAAATGACAAAATATTTAAACCGAACGATGATGAAAATACAACCTACCAAAATTTATAGATGCAGCTAAAACAGTATTTAGGAGGAAACTCATAGCTTTAAATGCTTATATTGGGAAGGAAGAAAAGCTAAAAACAAAAATAAAACAAAACAAAAAACCAGTGATCTAAGTTTTTAACCTTAAGAAACTAGAAAAAGAATGTGAATTAATTAAGTAGAAAGAAGAGATTAATAAAGAAAGCAATCAATGAAGTATAAAAGAAATAAAC